TAAGCTGTGTTTCAGTCACGTCCCATTTATATATGTGGATGTTTTGATATTGACTTGATATACTGATTAGTTTTACTGTTTGAGAGTGACTATTTTTGTATCAGCTTGTTGACGTTGTATTGTTGCCTTATCATATTTTGAGGAAATAAACCAGATTTAAAATGATTTAGCTCTCCACAGAGTGAGTGAGTGGGTGTCCCGTGAAGATCAGGGGTAGAATAGGTCTTCAGCAACCCATGCTTGCCGTAAAAGGCGACTATGCTTGTCGTAAGAGGCGACTAACGGGATCGGGTGGTCAGGCTCGTTGACTTGGTTGATGCATGTCATTGATCCCAAATGCATGGATCGATGCTTATGAGTCCAGATTCGATTATTTACAGACCGCCGTCATATAGCTGGAATATTGCTGAGTGCGGCGTTAAACAACAAACAAACACACAAAGAGTGAGTGAGTGGTTGGGTTTGGATTTATGCACCATCACTGGATGCCAAGAAAGGATTTCACATTCTTGCCAATGTGAGACATTAAACTTCATGTGATGAACAAAACCCAGTGACCCCTCTGCCTGGACACAAAAATGCTAACTATACAGAGTGACACAAATAAGGGAACAGATTGACATGTGTACTTGGACCCTGTGTCCACTATACTGAGTGACACAAATAAGGGAACAGATTGACGTGTTCCTGGACTCTGTGTCAACTATACTGAGTGAAATAAATAAGGGAACAGATTGACATGTGTTCCTGGACTCTGTGTCAACTATACTGAGTGACACAAGTAAGGGAACAGATTGACATGTGTACCTGGACTCTGTGTCATCTATACTGAGTGACACAAATAAGGGAACAGATTGACGTGTACCTGGAAACTGTGCCAACTATACTGAGTGACATGTGTTCCTGGGTTCTGTGTCAACTGTACTGAGTGAAATAAATAAGGGAACAGATTGACATGTGTACCTGGGTTCTGTGTCAACTATACTGAGTGACACAAATAAGGGAACAGATTGACATGTGTTCCTGGACACTGTGTCAACTATACTGAGTGACACAAATAAGGGAACATAACTCTTTGAAAGCTTCAGAGACGTGATATTGCAGCAGAAAGTCAAAAGTGTAAAAAGAAAAAAAAATGTTTTAGAAACAAAATGAACAGTTTGGTGAGAGGTTTGGTCTCCTGACCGCCTCCCTGGTCTAATGGATAGATCAACTGCCTGGAGAGCAAAAGGTCGGTGGTTCGATCCCTGTCAAAGACGTTAAATTATGGTACTTGTTGTTACCCTGCCTGGCGCTCAAAACTGAGGGGATAAAACAGTATACTGTCTGACTGACATATCCTTATAAAATTGCATCGTAGTATCTCGGTGTGCTAGCGCGCGTGCACACGCACACACGCACAAACGTGCATGTACGTCGTTATATAAGTGTTATAATCTTGGACACAAGGTCAATCCCCATTTCACCTCACCGTGGCCACATTGAATCACGATCACTTCACTGATTACGACATCCGGTGACATGACCACGACACATGGTCCCAAGACAACATTAAGTCACGACACTGGGTCGCATGACAGTGTAAGTCACGACACTGGGTCGCATGACAGTGACATTGGGTCGCAAAAATTGCAATAATGATTGCGACTTGTATAGTGTCAATATTGACAGAACCGTAAAGTTTAACATTATTACACACATAAACAGAAGCATAAAACCAGAACAATGTTCTTGAGTACTGGAACAGAGACTTGTATATTGAAGTATGAACCCCTGGCTATAACAACTAAATGTTGCACTTTAAAATTGGATTTGGCAAACTCAGGACTAGTCTTGACTAGTCAGGACTGATGCCGATTTATAGTGCTAGCACACTGAGATACCATGCTGCAGTTTAACATGAATATCTCACTCAGACACAGTATACTAACTCCGAGCCGACCAGTCCTTGTTTTAGCCCCTTAATGCCGAGCGCCAGACAGGGTAACAACAAGTACCATCTTTTAACGTCTTTTTGTATGGGGCGACCAGGAATCGAACCCCGGACCTTCCGCTATCCGGGCGGACGCTCTACCACTTGATCACGGAGGCGGGCTGATGCATGTCACATCGCGTTTGACATTCGTATCAAAATACACCATCGAATAACCATTTCTTGTTTGTATCATTAGCCACCATCACACATTTGTGATACTTTCTTTTGACCGGCAGTGTACATATCAACACGCCTCTTCAATTATAGCAAGCAGTGTTTTGTCGTTAGTTTACAAACGACATCCTCGTCTCAATGAGACTACTCGTTAAGGCGCAGGTGACCCTTTATCGCAATGGCGACATTTCTATAGCGTCTCGCGTGGTGTTTTTAATGTGTAACATGCGTGTGTGAACCAACATACGTCTTGTGTAGGTGACAGTGTGTATGCGCCGTAACATAGAAATCAATACGGACTCCGTGAATGTGCACAAAACCAGGTAACAGGTGAGTCATGCACAAACGCCATTACCTAACTTAGTGTATGATACAATAGAGTCAACCGTCACTGGCTTGGTTAGTTTGTTGTTTAACGCCGCACTCGGCAATATTCCAACTATATGACGGCGGTCTGTAATAAATCAAGTCTGGACCAGACCATCCAGTGATTGATATCATGAGCATCGATCCACTCAATTGGGATCGTTGACATGCTTCAACCAAGTCAGCGAGCCTGACCACCCGATTCCGTTAGTCGCCTCTCATGACGAGCATAGTCGCCTTTTCGGCAAGCGTGGGTTTCTGAAGATCTATTCTAACCCGGATCTTCACGGGTCCGTCGCTGGGAACAAACGGGACAGGTTATACGGATAGAATGAATGAGCGAGTATGCTTTTACGCCGCTTTTAGCAATATTCCAGCAATACCACAGCGGGGGACATCAGAAATGGGCTTCACACTTTGTACCTATGTGGGGAATCGAACCCAGGTCTTCGGCGTGAAGAGCGAACGCTTGAACCACTAGGCTAGCCCGCCGCCCCATGGGATGAATTAAGCGTAGATTTATATCTATATAACGGCGGTCTGTAAATAATCAAATCTGGATCAGACAATCAAGTGATTGATATCATGAGCACTGATCCACGTAATTGGGATCGATGACATGCTTCAACCATGTCAGCGAGCCTGACCACCCGATCGCGTTAGTCGCCTCTTACGACAAGCTTAGTCGCCTCTTACAAGCAAATATGTAAAACATCCGTGTTTAGGGTGTTAATGTTTTATACATTTGGTGTTTACATTTTAAACACTACACTGCATGATAACTATACGGCATGCGTATAGTCAGATCGCACATAGTCGTTAATACCTCAGCGTTTAAGTTTTAAACACTGCTAACTTGCATTGTAAGAGACCACTGAAAAAAATACATAATGTAAAGAGTCTGCCAGGTAACATGAGTTTGGACGTAATATTTTAACTCTTAATGACTAGAGGTGGCACGGGTGGCCCAGTCGTCTAAGGCGCCGCGATTCGCTGTGCAGAGTTGCGTCCCTTGGGCACGCCAGAAACCTATGATTGTGGGTTCGAATCCCGGTTCGTCCCAATTATGTTTCTAGGTTTGTCAGCACCATACCCGTGCTCGTGGGTTTCACCGAAGTGGTAAACCTCTGAGACCTGCATCACTTCGAGCTTTCCTCCCACATTAAGCTGTCACGCCGTGATATGACTGGAATACTGTTAAAAGCGGCGTTAAACCCAACTCACTCACTCACTCACTTAATGACTAGCCATGTTGTTAAACTGATTTATCCGTTCAGTGTCGTAGTTTTACTGTTCAGTGCAATATACATACACGTCATAAAGTCGTTCGCGGAGTTATTCCTTCATGACTGATATGAATTTTTCATGAATAATTATATTATGAAACTCGCCAATGTTAAACACATGTGTTTAGATCCACCATTCGCAGTCTAGATTAACGTACTGCGTTAAAAAATACAATTCACATTCGGGTCAATACACACCGGGTCTGAATTTCCCGATGATATGTGAATGCATATGACCACACTCCGAACTCTGGGTGGGAACGTGGCATGATAAGCGCCCAGGGCGCTCTCAAAATGAGAAATATGGGGCTCTTATTAAATTATTATTTTTGTGAAAAAAATCCAGAGTTGTAAGATAAATTTCGTGTTCATGTACGACAGATATATTTTTCCAGAATTTAATTGCCCATAATTAAGGGTGCATATAACACACGAGTGCGTATCATACGCGAATAAATAAGTCTTGTGAACATTGATCAATCGGAAGGGGTGCTAATTGGGATTGTTCACTAGCCAATATATTCGCAAATATCGCCGTGGGCGCTTATTAGAGCGGGGCGCTTATTATGTCGAATACGTTACGTCATATTTATGTCATATTTGCACGCCATTTGGCTTCGCGGACACGTTTGGCAAAGTTTAGTCTGTTTTTATATATCTAGTTTTCATGTAGAATTACGCCGTAAGTAAGGCTAGCAACTATAGTTGATAGACATGATAATGTTCATGAAAATGTTCCTGTCATTTTAGTCTTTTTAATGACTGAATTGTAAGCTTCGAAAATTACCAGAAGAGGAACTTGAACAGCACTTACTAAAACTGGGGAAACTCACACTCTAGCTCCTACCCAGAGTTCCTTGCGACGGAGTGTGGGGGTGGGGTGGCAAAGGCGATTCTATTACGTCAAACTTACGACAAAAGACGAGAGTGGATTGAAGCCCAGCGTGAGAGTTGAAGTGTCGAACAAATTACTGACCGTTATACCATGTTTAACCATTCCCGTCTTTGTAAAATGTGAAATAAACCCTTTGAAAGTCACACTAAAAAGCACTTTGTACTGTGCGCGGAATGGTTGTACAGTTACTATCCTTAAATATGTAGATCTTTGATTTTTACTAGATAAGAAGGTACGATTGAAAATAATACAGACATCAAAATATGTTAATACTGTTCAGTTAACACACAGTATCATTCGTCAGACTTTTTCAGGTGTTTCCTGAACTGGAAGCTCATTAAACGGAAATATCCCTGGACCAGTTTCGAAAAGAACATTGACTGGTTGTCTGACATCATGAGGTCGCTACAAAAGGGAGATAAAAACGAGGTAAGTCAAAAGAGTATATTGTAATATACAAAAGTTAATGACATACATGTACCAAGAAAATCCATATCTCAGCACCTCAAAAATTCATAACTTGATGTTTCCGATCGCCACATGCTGGTGATACTTTCTGATAGGTTCGAATCCCGGTTCGCCCTGATTATGTTTCTAGGTTTGTCAGCACCATACCCGTGCTCGTGGGTTTCACCGAAGTGGTAAACGTCTGAGACCTGCATCACTTCGGGCTTTCCTCCCACATTAAGCTGACACGCCGTGATATAACTGGAATACTGTTAAAAGCGGCGTTAAACCCAACTCACTCACTCCTTTCTGATATTTAATGGAACAACTTAGCAGGGATTATTATCATGAGATGACGCTTGAGGTCTTATTGTTGAAATATCTAAATGACAACATAAATATGTTCTTTCACACAATCTCGTAAAAATCAGATCTAAGTTCTCGCTGCCGCTAAACAAAGATCTGAGGACACCCCATTACGGGTCACGTCAGAACGACCTTTTGCGAACTGAAAACGATAAACAAGAAGTCGACATTAGCCAATTAGAAAGCAGCTTTCTCGAGCTATACGACACTCGTCACAACCCTGCCATTTCCAATTCAGACTACGCTTGAAAAATTGTTGACACAGTTCTCGATTAAAATTTAGAAAACTGAACAAACGAAAAATCTGGAATGTCTGATATATGGTTGCGATTGTACGGCAGTGCTTCCCACGTACTGTGCAACGCCTCCTCCGTTCAAATGTTCATTCCAAGGAAGCCAGAGATAGACGATAATTTTGACGGAATCAATCGTAACTGTCGATCCGAATACACCGTGTTAACATTTTCGAGGTTGCATGATTAGAACACACATTCCGACTGTCACTTTCATGATCTGGTAAGCGACGCTTTGATTGGTCGGATGAAAGGTCGTTCTGACGAGACCCCTAAAGGGGTGTCCTCAGATCTTTGTTTAGCGATAGCGAGAACTAAGATCTGATTTTAATGAGATTGTCTTTCAGGGGACTTGAGGCAGATAGTTCATCCTTCCCGTGTTTAGGTAGAAAAACCCAATATTAACAGTCCACCGGGTAAGTCCCGAAGTAAGAAACCTCATCTATAGTCCTGTATGTGACCCTTCAGATCACATGTAAGTGAGTTGAGGTCGACGCCACTTTGATCAGTATTCCGGTTTAAAACGGCATGTCAGCTTTATGAGTGAGTGAGTTGGGCTTAACGCCACTTTTAACAGTATTCCAGTCATATCACGGCGTGACAGCTTAATGTGGGAGGAAAGCCCGAAGTGATGCAGGTCTCAGAGGTTTACCACTTCGGTGAAACCCACGAGCACGGGTATGGTGCTGACAAACCTACAAACATAACCATAACCACAATCAGAGGTTTCTGGCATGCCCAAGGGACGCAACTCTGCACATCGAATCGCGGCGCCTTAGACGACTGGGCCACCCGTGCCCCCTCAGCTTTATCAGGAGACCCACAGTACTGACTGGTGACAAACCCAGGAACATAATTGGGTCGGACTGGGATTTGAACCAACGAACTCAAAACTGTGCGCAACGAAATGAGACGGCAGGGCCATCAGTCCCCCCCCCCCCCCCCCCCCCCCCCCCCCCCCTATTTAACTATTTAAGGTCATATAATGAGAAGTATTGCTCTTGTAATTCTTGTAATACTTCTTATATATTCAAAAATTATAACTATGCAATTCGTTCTCACTGGAGTTGTTACATTGTTTATTTGATATTTTTTTTCAGGATTTTTCACCGGACGAACTTAACAAGGCTGTACTGAAAGTGTCCATGAAACATTCGCCATGTCTGATGGTGTTCGTGAATAATGATGCAATTGTCAACCTCTCTTCTTGTCCAACATTCAGAAAGTCAGTGCTTTATCTGCTGGCAGTGTACCATATTGCTTGGATATCAAATCCAAGACAGTATTCTCAAATTCTTGGCATCTTACAGCATTTGGTTTTGGTCGGAGTGAAGTAACATGTTCAATGAACAGTATGTGCGGTTTCCTGACATTTGGACTAATGACATTTGTGACCCGTGGAACAGAAGTTGTAAGCCCATTGCATTCAGTATCATAAGACATCCGACTTTGATTTACTGACAGCTTTAGTGTTCTATTGCTTGTTCATTGTTGTGTGTTTTAATATTTCTGCTATACAGGGTGTTAAGTATAACTATGCAATACACAATTCCTATTGTCACAATAATGATGCTTTTCCGACAGTTAACTTTCCTTGTGGATAGAGGAGCCTGTGTCATCCGGGTATATCATCATCATGTTTGTAATAGTCTTCATGACATAAGATGATATAGTTATGCTATCGAAAATAAATCGTTTTTCTTACTTTACTTCTACTTTGTGTTGTCAGCAGTTAGTCTGATTATATTATTCCTAATTCCTAATTTGCAAACCTTTGCTTTACACGTGACCGGTTTTCTAGTATTTCTTTACACTACTTTATCATCCAAAACTGGCTCCCACAGGAGATATCGCTTGGATGAGATCAAGCGATATCTACACTGTAGATATCGCTGCAATGAAATTGCTTTGCAGACCATTGTGACATCACTGGTTACCATGACGTCACAATCAAATGACATCACTAATAGCTCTGCTACTGAAGCTGTTAGCAGTACTTTTTACACTGAAGACACTGCTAATTAGTGTCTACAAATTGAAAAAGTTGGAAGAATGATGTTGGATGATAAATAAAATCTCACCCTCGTGTCTTTTGACATAAAATATATCAACACTCGTTGATAAAAGTGGCAAAAATCCTCGGCAAGCCTCGGAATTTTTCCACTTTTATCAACTCGTGTTGATATATTTGATATCAAAAGACACTCGGGTGAGATTCTCTATTTATAGCCTTTATAGGCATTGTTTACAGCAACGGGTTTAGACCCGGGTAGAATAGGTCTTCAGCAACCCATGCTTGCCGTAAAAGGCGACTATGCTTGTCGTAAAAGGCGACTAACGGGATTGGGTGGTCAGGCTCGCTGACTTGGTTGATGCCAATTGCGTGGATCGATGCTCATGATATTAATCACTTGATTGTCATGTCCAGACTCGATTATTTACAGACCGTCGTCATATAGCTGCAATATTGCTGAGTGCGGCGTTTAACAACAAACAAACCCTGAGCTGTGGTACTTAAAGGCAGTTTCAACATTAGGTATGACTGTTGGAACGTGGAAACGCGATGTTACCGGAAGTGTAACGAAGGTGCCACGCGCTGTGAGGAGCTTGGGTGTCCACCCCCAAGACCAGGCGCCTCGAGAGTAGTCTGCCCTTACAAGTATCTTTTGCGTCCACCTCCAAAACCATTCGTGACCAACTCGTCCCATTCCGGGACATGCCGAATAGCAGGTTACGGAAAGGGGCGAGTGGTGACGAATGCTCTCGAAGGTTTCCACATTGGCGTAGGAACACGAGAACTTCTTCAAACAAGACCGATAACTCTTATTCTACCCGCGTCTTAAAAATTAGTTACAACAGCGCTCGCTTATTCCTGTTGTAAAAGTATTGACCCTCTTTGATACTAATATATTCTTTTGTACAAAAGTATAGTTGGCAAGCCATCCAACTCGTTCTTTCTCAGCTGTTAATCCGTTATTTGCCAATTATTAATTTTTAAATAAAATATTAAAATTACACGAAGAAAACTGACTAGACGAAGGTGGATTTCGGATTTAAGAAATTTCAACAAGAAATTTCTAAGACATGTTATGGTCTTTTTCATGCTTGAAACGAAATTTCTTATTTACTCATTTACTTTCTTATTATTCATTTGCCGTCATATAGCTGGAATATTGCTGAGTGCGGCGTTAAACAGCAAACAAACAAATATTATCCATTTCTTATTTCTCTCCTTCCATGACACCCTTAACAAATAGTACACATATTTTACATGAACTAGCTACAAGAGAAGTATGAGTGAGTGAGTGAGTTTGATTTTACGCCGCTTTTAGCAATATTCCAGCAATATCACGGCGGGGGACACCAGAAATGGGCTTCATACATTGTACCCATGTCCGGAATCGAACCCGGGTCTTCGGCGTGACGAGCGAACGCTTTAACCATTAGGCTACCGACCGCCCCAATAAAAGTATGAAGGAAAATCATATCCACCATGTCTAGAGAAATATAAAGTGTTTCTAATTACACATATGCCAACAACATTGTGAGACCATGTTAATGTTCCCATGTGGGGCGGTCGGGTAGCCAAGTGGTTAAAGCGTTCGCTCGTCACGCCGAAGACCCGGGTTCAATTCCCGATATGGGTACAATGTGTGAAGCCCATTTCTGGTGTCCCCCGTCGTGATATTGCTGGAATATTGCTAAAAGAGGCATAAAACCTCACTCACTCACTCATGTTCCAATGTTGCCTGTGCTTGTCGCTAGAGAGCAGACTCGGTCACTTGGTTGATTGCGTACAATCTATAGGCGGGATCCAGGGGTCCAGACCCACCCCCCTCCACCCCACCCCCTTTGAAAACCAAAATGGAGTGTGTTGTCAGCAGTAAAACTATTTGAGAGAGGATTTTGATGTTTTTGAACCCTCCTTTTTAAAAAAACTGGATCCGCCCTTGTATCGTACCTTGACCACGTGGATCGTATGATTACAATACCGATTAATGGTGTGCCCGGTGAAGTGTAGATTATGAACGAAAAGCCGTCATATAGGTGGAATAGTGTGACGTTAAACTACAAACAAGCTTCAATATTCAAAGCTTGTTCAAGTTTAAGGTGTTCAGACAAAATGGAAGAATTACAGTTACATTAAGTTTTCATAAACAATTTCTGATCATTTTTACGATAGCTTCCTTTCAAGGAGAGTTGTCTTTTACAAATAACAAAATAATTCATTCGAATCTCATATATCTTTGCGTTTATGATTTGTCGGATGAATTTATTTGTTTGTTTGTTGCTTAACGGCGCACTCAGCAATATTCCAGCTATATGACGGCGGTCTGTAAATAATCGAGTCTGGACCAGACAATCCAGTGATTATTATCATGAGCCTCGATCCACGCAACTGGGATCGATGACATGCATCAACCAAGTGAGCGAGCCTTACCACCCGATCCCGTTAGTCGCCTCTTACGACTAGCATAGTCGCCTTTTACACAATACATAGCATTGTATCTCAATCTTTATTTAAATTATCAGTAAAGTTGTTATATGATTCTTGAGTATTAAACAATCATGCGAGTATTTTCCAAATTTGAGTATTAAGGCCTATCGCCAATGGCCCATACAGCTACAACACTGCAGTCTGTTCATATTGACTCTGGACCACACAAACCAGTGGCTCATATATCCACACTGGGTCCGACCCAATCACCCAAATGCATCCGAACCACCATATTTAATTTAACTTCGTTAATTTTGAGAGTGAGGTGAAATGAGTATTAGCGTCGCCTTCGAGACTACAATGTATTTCACTTACATAGCGACGTGTACCAGTCCTGACTAATGCTGGTTTTATGGTGCTAGTCAACTGAGATACCATGCTGCAGTTTTAACATAAATACCCCACTTACACACAAACTGACTCCCCTAAATGCCAAGCGCCAGGCAGGGTAACAACAAGCCCCATCTTTTAACGTAGTTTGGTAGGAAGCGGTGTGTGAAGCGGTGTGTTTTTAAGGAGTGTGTGAGTTGGGTTTTACGCCGCTTTTAACAGTATTCAAGTTATATCACGGCGGGATACACATGGTACCATTGTACGCTTAACAACTCGGCTACCCGACCGCCCCGGTATCTTAGGGAACAAGATCATCACCCAAATATATAAACATAGTAATAAAATCCGTTTTAATATATTACCACTGCTCTAATTTTGATATTAATCATTCATCTACACGAGTCCAACTGCCAATATGCTAATTGAGCAAGGATAACATCATTGTTAAAGCACTAGTTATAGAAGTGGGTGCTGTCTTTATATGCCAGTACCAGCTGTTGTATATTAAATTTATACGCCTGTTCAATGTCTAATAAAGTTATATTAATAGATACATGTAGTTGATAAAAGCTTCATTTGCTACACATGTCTAAACTCAGCTAAGCTGACATATAGGTTTTAATGAATGTCGATGCTTGTACTTTGTAATATATGCTTAGATAAAGTGATGCTAATGGTATACAGTCAATGCAAAATTTAATTATGGATTCTTGTGATTGTATGCCAGTACTTTGATCTTGCTATATTATGTTAGGATATATCATCATTTCTCCCTATTTCTAGTGTTAGGATCTTCTTATCCCCGATTGAACTTCAGACAGAATAAATCCCATGAACCCCCCACATGAATTCGTCATTCTGCCAACCTACACGTTATAATATTTCATCATCATCAAATATCATCTCTTCCTAGTTACATGTGTTTGTTTGTTGTTTAACGCCGCACTCAGCAATATTCCACGTATATGACGGCGGTCTGTAAATAATCGAGTCTGGACCACACAATCCAGTGATTATTATCATGAGCCTCGATCCACGCAACTGGGATCGATGACATGCATCAATGATTTGTCGGATGAAGTTATTTGTTTGTTTGTTGCTTAACGGCGCACTCAGCAATATTCCAGCTATATGACGGCGGTCTGTAAATAATCGAGTCTGGACCAGACAATCCAGTGATTGACATCATGAGCATCGATCCACGCAATTGGAATCGATGACATGCATCAACCATGTCAGCGAGCATGACTACCCGATCCCGTTAGTCGCCTTTTACGACAAGCATAGTCGCCTTTTACGGCAAGCATGGGTTGCTGAAGACCTATTCTACCCCGGATCTTCACGGGTACATAGTTACATGTCCACGAAACAAGTTCTAAAATTTCAGTACAACATGTATTTTATTAATCGGCATGAAAGTAACTTTTGTTTTTATGTCTTAACTGGAGCATTGGCTACCTTGGTCTGTTACAATCACATTTGTAAAAATCACTAATGGCCAAAAATGTCTGCCACATAATATCACAATGTGAGTTTCAATGGTACGTGAATAACTTATAAAAATCTGTGATTAGTTAACTACTTAAATACATTTTTCACTTCTTGGTATGATATATATATTGATATTACATGGAATCTCGTTCCTGAAAACCAGGTCTAGTTAACCCTCTAAATTCACAGTTTAAAAAGGGCATTTTCTCGGGACCATATATGGTCCCTTGGCACTATGTAGGGTGTGAAAAGTGAGGGACCATATATGGTCCCGTGGCACCAAGAGGGTTTAAAAAAACTCTAATGAAGGGCTGTCGGAGTAAACAAACACACGTGTACATTAGAATTTATCATCCGACATAGCCCTGCAATTAACCACATC